GAGAGAGAGAGAGAGAGAGAGAGAGAGGAGCTCCAGATGTTCCGATAAAGGAAAAGCAACAAAAAGCTGATGGTCTCTGAGATTCGTCTTTGTCCTTGTGTCTCTGTGAACAGACTCATTTCCTGATTGTTCTCGGGGGAACTCGTCTCCTCCGGGTTTTTATTGTGTGGTTGTAACTCGGCCGAGCTGCTGAGGCAGGAGGAGTTAATGACCTGACGCTCGGCCAGAGCGTCCAGCAGCTGCTCCAGAGCAGAATAAAGATGATGAGGATGAGGATGATGATGATGATGTCCTCCTGGTTTGAAAAGGGACAATCAGTGAGGACTGCTCTGATCTGCCAGGTTTCACCAGCTGCTCGGAATCAAACCGCCGGACGCTTTGTAGCTGCATTAAAAAGCTTGACAAGCACCCGGAGACAAGTTTTCACCAAGTCTCTAGTTTTCTCCTAAGTTTTTTAAATAATCATCATCCAATAAAAGTCGTCGTGTTTCCACACTGATGTGATTTATTTTGTGTTGGTTCTGAGATTCGATGGATCAAGTTTCGTTTCTTCACAAAGAAAGAAAAAAAAAACATCCAATGATTTAAAAGTAAAAAGTAAAGAAACATGAAAAATGTATTTAAGTACTTCAACAAAGTAAATGTACTTAGTTACATCCCACCACATGCTGGAGACAGTCTGGAGCTTTCACCTCATTGGTCCTCAGCTCATAAATGAGTTCATCCTTATGACAGGATGATGCTGCCTCCTGGTGGTCAGCTGCAGCAGCGCAGATTCACCACAGGACAGAATTTAATGTTTCAGACTCAATGAAGTGAAAGAAGAAGTTAAATCTTTATTTGACAGAACGTCAGAGTCAAGAACGTTTCATCTGAGGAACTTGACAGAAGAGAAGAAGAGCTTGTGCTTGTTTGTAGTTTTACTTAATTAATATTACTTCTACTTCTAACGTTGTGTTCTTGTATTTGTATTTGACTTGATCATTCGATCCTCTGTAGTATTCGTTCCAGAAGGTGGATGTTTGTTCATGTGTAAAATCCTCTGCAGGTCAGTTACTGTGTCGGGTGACACCTGAGCTCACCTGTCTGTGATGTCACCTTCAGGGCTCCTCCCTCTCTCTCGTTCTCTCTCTCTCCCTCTCTGTTGTCTCAGTCGTGGTGATGGGCAGCGGGGCATCGGTCAGCGAAGGCTCCCGGCCAGAGAGGCCTGAGGCCGAGCCTGAACCAGAACCTGAACCAGAGCCTGAACCAGAACCTGAACCAGAGTCTGAACCAGAACCAGAACCCGCCCGACCCTTCACAGGGCGGAGCAACGACACCCTGCAGGTTAACATGCTCGTGTTATTCCCTGGAGGCTCCGTGAAGGAGCGATAAAGAAAATCTTATTTTAACAGACTGAGCTGAAAAACGTCCACCTTCTTCTTCTCCTCCTTTGTGTTGTTTTCAGGCAGAGGAGGAGGCAGCGCCCCCTGGCAGTCACATCGTAGAAATCCAGTCTTTAAAGAGCGACGTAACAGAAGAAGAAGGAGCCACACAACGTGTCCTGAGTCGAGCTGTGACGGTGAGCAGCTGTTTGAATTATATTAATATAAATTATATTAATATAAATTATATTGAAAATGATGCAGATTGATTTTTTCATGTTTCTGTTGTTGCGCTGTCCTCGAACCCTCAGTCAGGCTCCACCCCCTCCTCCAAATATGGTTTACTCTGGTTTCAATAAACTAAGATGGACAAATGATGATGTGACGACAGATTCAAGGTCAAAGGTCAACTTCACTGTGACATCATAACGGACAAACACAGGAGAGGCCGCGTGTTTCTCTGTTCATGTAATGAACTGTTTTCTCGCCGATGTTGAATCAAGACTTCTCTGGAGTCAGTGGACGCTGTGGAGGTAAAACGTCTCTGTGTTTTCAGGAGACGGTGGCAGAAGGTGAACAAGTGTCTCTGGACTTTGAGAGTTTCCTCCATAACGACGGGACGCTCTACAGCTGCTTCCACCACCACGGAGACAGAGTTTATGTGGACGAGTCTCAGGTGACCAACTCTCCACATTCAACGTTTGATTCCAGACAGACGTCAGTTTCTGGATTTTGCTCATGAGGCTTCTTCTTGTATTTCTCACCTGAATCTCCAGAACCTGGTTCCGTTTCCAAAGGAGTGGCACGGTCAGGGACGCTTCCTCTCCACCAACCATGAGGTCTGTCTGAGGATCAGCTAATGACACCAATCTGTGAGAAATGTTTGAGAAACAGTATTTGTCCCCTCAGGGCTCCGGTCCTCCTCAGGCCGGCAGCGAGCTCAGGGAGGATGACCGCACCGCCAGCATCTACATCCAGGGCCGAGGAACCGTCATGACCTACATGTTCGAGGTGAGTTTCACTGAGCTGCTGTGAGTAAAAACTCCTCGTCCTCATCTCTGCCTCTCTCGTTTCCCAGGAGCGTCTGAACGTGTGCAGGTTCTGGGATCCTCAGTCGGGCGTCTGGTTGCTGCTGCCGCTGCAGTGGGAGGTGGACGTGGACTTTGTCAAAGCTCGGGTCCAGCGGGTCACGGTGAGGACGACTGTGACGCTGCTCTGTTCGTCTTCTCTGTGAACGCGACGGGAACACGTGTGTTTTTGTTTCAGTCCACGCTGCCGGGCCTGGTGGATCAGAAGGAGATCACTGCGGCGCTGCGACAGTGTAACTACGACCCCGAGGAGGTCATCTCCGTCTACCTCACCATGTTCGGAGAAATCCTCCTGCAGGCGTCTCCCAGCGGAGACCACGGCTACACCGACCTCAACTCCTTCAGGTCCAAGATGATTACGGTTGTGTCTCCACCAATCAGAGCAGTTTCTCTCTGATGTCACAGTGACCTTTGACCTCAGAGACACACTGATCTGAGCCTGAAGCACGAGACCTCTTCAGTTATGTCACGTCTTTGATTTCCTGCGTCTTCAGCTTGTTGGTTTCTATCTCAGAGCAGAAGTAACAAACGTGTGGTGTGACCCGGCAGAGCGCTGCTGGAGCGGGACCGGCTCATCGAGGGTCTGAGGCTGCAGCTCCAGACCAAAGAGAAGGAAGTGGACCATCTCTTCCAGAGGAACAACTTCCTGGCCAGAGAAGTGCGCAACCTGAGCGACGTGGTCCAGCACCTGAACCAGAAGCTGGCTGAGCAGGAGGCCGACCAGCAGGAGGCCCGAGAGAGGATCAGATCTCACCTGAGCCGTCGCGCTCCTGCTGGCCCCCCCACCAGACCGGTCACCAAACCTGCCGTGGATCCAGACCATCTCCGCCGGGTGAGCCGCGTGACGCGTGAGCTCAACATCTCGAACAAGCAGCTCCTCTCCACGGTTCACCAGGCGATGGCCGACATGGAGAACCAGCTGGAGCAGCTGAAGGACGCCGCGGGGACGTTGGCCCGGGTTGAGCAGGAGGCGGCCGGAGAGGTGGAGGAGCTGCAGTCGCTCTACAGGAGGGAGGCGGTGGAGAGGAGGAGCCTGTACAACAAGCTGCTGGAGCTGCAGGGAAACATCCGGGTGTTCTGTCGCTGCAGGAGCAGCTCCGCCTCCAGCTCCTGCGTGGAGAGAACGGACGAGCAGGAAGTGGTGGTCGTTCAGAAAGGAAACAGGAAGAAGTTCCAGTTTGACAAAGTCTATTCTCAGAGCAGCTCGCAGGTATCGAACCTGTGGCGTATTTTTATAATGTAAAATTATATATTCAGATTATTATCAACTATGAATCTTAGATCCAACACATCATTTATATAAAGTAACATTAAGAACTGATGAGAAGAGACGTGTCAGATGTAACTGGAGAAGTTTATCAATGCAAAAACATTTATTAGATTTTACCCCCCCCCCCCCCCCCCCCCCC